CGCGGCGACGCAGCGCTCTGAGCAGCAGCCTTCCTGGGCAGGACCTACGACGAGGCACACGGGGCGAAGGCACCAGCGGCCCCCGCCAGTCCCTGGCTCGGCGCCGACATCGGGAGCGACAAAGTGCCGTCCCCAGAAGGGACTCAGCCCGACTCCAAGCCCGAATCTTGCGCGCCGCGTAAGGACACACACGATCCCACCTACGAGCCTGCACCCCTTGTGCTCCCTAAGGAGGGGGACCCCGACTGGACCAACGACGACCAGGAACAAGAGAAGAAGCAGAGGCTCGCAGAGGCCCTAAGCACGGTTCACGCGGTCGCCTCATCCTCACACTCCGACACAGTCGAGGAGGGCCAAGCCAAGGTGAGCCCTCGTTACGAACGACGCAGCAGTCCCGAGCGCGACTCAAGCAGTACCTACCAGACCCAGCCAGCCTGTGCACCCACGGAACCGATCGCGTTTTTGGCGGCCGCTGCCGACAAACGGGCGCTGCACACGCGGCCCAGATCCAAAGGCCCGGAAGACAGGCGCCCCGCACTCAACCCCCTCCCTGCGCATGAGCTAGAGCGCTTGCGCGGCAGGGCGCGGGAGCCAGTTGCCTGGGAGTCATACGCGACTGCGGTGAGGCGCGCGTCCAGAGAAACCGGCGACCGGACTCGTGCTGGAGAGCACGACCGCGATCGCGACCGCGACCGCAACAAGGGCGCAGCGGGGGCACCGTGGCGCAAGCAAGACGCCAACGACTGGGACAAAACCAAAGAGCGCTACTGGGATCAGGACCGCGACAGTGGCAGGGGCACAGGGAGAACCCCCTGTCGCCAGCCAGAACCACGCAGCTCTCACCGCAGGGACGATCGCCGCTACCCTGACCCCAGCCGCCCGCGGACAATCTTCCGCGTCAGCTGGCAGCGCCGCCCACACGAGACAGCAGTCACACACCTGAAGAAGCTGCAGGCCGAGGGAGGGTACCACTTCACCGCAGCCTGGCACTCGTGGTGCAGACAAAAGCGGAAGGAGCAGGGCAAAGGCAAATCCAAAGACCAGGTCGCTTTTGACCCGAACTGCTGGCAACAATGGATAATTGACAAATTTCTGGAAAACATGGACAGCAGCAGCCATCACGTGGAGGCGTAGTCTCGCAACGCCGGCGTCTACGTGGACTAGGACCGGGAGAAGGCCCTGTACCAGGACGCCCAGAAGAAAAGAGAAGTCGCCAAAGTTGAAGGGCGCGGGAAGGACCAGGCACGCAGCTCCGGGTACAACGACAACTGGACCGGAAAGCGCCCTAGGCGCTGACCAACCTGCGACCGGGCCTCCCCTCACTGACGCAGCACGCCGCGACCGCCCTCCTACGCTCCCAGCAACGTGCGGCAAGGTCCTGGTCCTACCCACCGCTGGCTACGCCCACCACCTGTTCCCTTTTCCCCCTCCCTCATCACCTGGCTTGGGACCGTGTGTCCCCCTGCTCGCGCGACGCGACCGCCTTCCTACACTCCCACAACATGCGGTAAGGTCCTGGTCCTACCCACCGCTGGCCACGCCCACCACCTGTTCCCAATTCCCCCTCCCTCTTCACCTGACGTGGGACCGTGTGTCCTCCTGTTCCCCCGTACCTGTTACCCCAAAACACTTGGGACGAGCACGGTCCACGCGCAGCGTCCGCTTGCTGGTCCACCTGGTCCCCGACTTTACCTGCTCCCCCCTCCCCCCTCGCCTGTACCCATTGGGAGCCCATTCCCCCACGTGAACACCTACGGTGCGGGCTGGCACGTCGACGGCTGGCGATGCGCGCCGGCCTTTTTCCTTCCTGTTCGCTTCTTCCCCCCCCGCTCGCTTCCCCCCCTCCCATGGCGGCAGCGCCCGGCACTGCGCGGCTTCGGCCCGGTGCCGGGCGCTGCACCTTGCCGCCTCAGCGGCCCCGCTCGCCATGGCGCTGCGCGGCTCAGGCTCGGCCCTCGGCAATGCGGATGTCAGCGCATCGTGTGTGGCTGCTGCCCGTCTTCACGCGGTGGCGGTGCAGGGCAGGTTTTTCACCTGCAGTCCACCGACATCCTGTCGGCCATGAGCGGCCCCCTCGTCTGTGGCCGCTCCTCAAGCAAGCTGCTACCTAGTCGTGGATTGGACTACCACCCCAGGCCTCTTCCGCATCACCCGGTGGCACAACGTTGCACATCGCCTTCGTGGTGCTCCTCTTCTTCCTGGGCGTCGACCTGGTCAAGTGGCACGTCCCCCTCTGCAGCGCTTGAGGCTGGTGTTCGCGATGCGCCGTCGACGGCAACACCTTCTCCTTCACCCTCCGGGACTTCGCCCCCGGTACCAGTCCGCGGCGCACTTGCTCCTGCACATCCACTTCGGCACCGCCTGCACCCCTGGGCTTCGCCCGCTCCGGCCGCCTGAGGCCCCGCCTTCCTGTGCCCTGTCTCCCTAATTACGGCTGTGCGCAGCCCGCCTAGCTTTTAGCGGAAGAGGTTCGCTCTCCCCCCGCAGATAAAAAAAACAGTGGGCCCAAGCCGTCTTAGACTTGGATATCCACACAACCCCCTCACCATCACATCACCCTCCACGCACCTCACTTGCACTTCTTCCCCTCCTCCTCGTCAGCCTGCTCCTCCAGCTGCTGCCGATCCTCCTGCCACTCCTTCTTCTCAACGATTCCCCTCCTCCACATCCCTCTCCACATCCTGCGCAAGACATTGCGCGCCGAAGAGTCTCCGACGAGCAGCAAGGCGAACACCAAACGAGCATCAGGACGTGGGGCCGACTTCAAAATACCCCGAGAACGCGAGAAGTACCAGCTGCGACCTCCTCGTTCTCCTCCTCAGCCTCTCCCTCTTCTCCTCCTCCGGGCTCTTGCCCCCCCGTCGCTCCTCCACCTCCGGATGCCCACACCTCTGCTTCCGCCTGCCCCTCCCTGGGCCTCCCACGTCCTCCCAGCACTCTTCGCCCTCCCCTGCCTCCTCCGCCTCCTCTCTGGGTTCGCATCCGCAGGAGGCGGAGGAGTAGGAGTAGGAGTAGGAGTAGGCGTAGGCGTAGTAGGAGTAGGAGTAGGAGTAGGAGTCAAGCTAGCCAGCTCGAGCGAGTCAAGCATGGCATGCCCAGTCCCACCCGCCCTCCCACAACATAAGAAGCAAAGCTGGCACAACTGGGGGCCGAAGTCACACCGGCCAGCCGGTTTGGTACAGCTGATGCGGCCGCGATGGCGGTTGCCGACGGGAACTGGCGAGCGCGTGTTGAACGCCGCGCACGCATTGCCAGACGAGTCGAGAATGGCCCGGTACACCGCAGGAAGCCAGAGGTGGCCGTGTCGAGAACGGCCCGGTAAGCCGGGTCCCATTCCTGCCATGCATTTTGCGACGTGGACGACAGGACGTCCATGCGACGGTGCCAATGACGGCGACGACTCTAGAAGGATTTGAGCATGCGCTCGCGGCGACGCGCGCGCATGTCGCCCGCGTGGTATTTTTTTTGCACAGGATTCGCGGCCTGGGTGCATGACAGAGCATCGCGAGTGCACCGCGCGATGACGTGAAATCGCTGGATTTGACCGAATTCTTAAGATTCCTATGGTTTTCCTATGATTTCAGCAAGAGAGCCCGGGCAGGAAATGTGTAGTTTTTTTGTGAAAAAGCATTGGGTTTTTGATGTTTTTATGTTGAAATGCTTGCAAACACACGGTGTTCGGTAGGATTCTGACATGAACGCGCGCGTGTGCTCTTTGTGGTATTTTTTGCAATGGATTATCGCCGTGGCCGACAGGACGTCCATGTCGAGAGGAAGAAAAATGTTGATTTTGTATTGTTTTTTACAGGTTAGGATGGGACCACCCGGATGGGCCCCCTATCTGCCGGCCTGAGGGGGGAGTAGGAGTATATTCTAATAAGGAATAAGGATAGGAGTAGGAGTAGGAGTAGGAGTAGGAGGAGGAGGAGGAGGAGGAGGAGGAGGAGGAGGAGGAGGAGGAGGAGGAGGAGGAGGAGGAGGAGGAGGAGGAGTAGGAGGAGGAGGAGTAGGAGTAGGAGTCAAGCTAGCCAGCTCGAGCGAGTCAAGCATGGCATGCCCAGTCCCACCCGCCCTCCCACAACATAAGAAGCAAAGCTGGCACAACTGGGGGCCGAAGTCACACCGGCCAGCCGGTTTGGTACAGCTGATGCGGCCGCGATGGCGGTTGCCGACGGGAACTGGCGAGCGCGTGTTGAATGCCGCGCACGCATTGCCAGACGAGTCGAGAATGGCCCGGTACACCGCAGGAAGCCAGAGGTGGCCGGAGGAAGCCCGACGGTCTGACAGGACACCCCAAAGCATTTTTGTGAAAAAGCATTGGGTTTTTGATGTTTTTATGTTGAAATGCTTGCAAACACACGGTGTTCGGTAGGATTCTGACATGAACGCGCGAGTGTGCTCTTTGTGGTATTTTTTGCACAGGATTCGCGGCCTGGGTGCATGACAGAGCATCGCGAGTGCACCGCGCGATGACGTGAAATCGCTGGATTTGACCGAATTCTTAAGATTCCTATGGTTTTCCTATGATTTCAGCAAGAGAGCCCGGGCGGGAAATTTGTACAATTTTTGTGAAAAAGCATTGGGTTTTTGATGTTTTTATGTTGAAATGCTTGCAAACACACGGTGTTCGGTAGGATTCTGACATGAACGCGCGCGTGTGCTCTTTGTGGTATTTTTTGCAATGGATTATCGCCGTGGACGACAGGACGTCCATGTCGAGAGGAAAAAATAAGAAAAATGTTGATTTTGTATTGTTTTTTACAAGTTAGGATGGGACCACCCGGATGCGGCCCCTAATGGCCGGCCTGAGGGGGGAGTAGGAGTATATTCTAATAAGGAATAAGGATAGGAGTAGGAGGAGGAGGAGGAGGAGGAGGAGGAGGAGGAGGAGGAGGAGGAGGAGGAGGAGGAGGAGGAGGAGGAGGAGGAGGAGGAGGAGTAGGAGTAGGAGCAGGAGCAGGAACAGGAGCAGGAGCAGGAGCAGGAGAGAGGAGGAGGAGGGAGGAGGAGGAGGAGGAGGAGGAGGAGGAGGAGGAGGACCCTCCCCAGCTTCACTGCGTGCGCGACACTTCTGCCCTCCGGCAGACGAAACAGGAGGCCACCCCAGCAAGAAGCGGGGCGGCGCTGCCCGTCCCCCCTCGGGGGCGCTCCCCGGAGTGCGGCGGGCCACCTGCTGGCCCCTGGCCGCGTGGAGCTCCGAAGGCCGCTGTTTTTCCTTCCTCGCAGCAGCGAACCGCGTGGACCTCCTCCTCCTCCTCCTCCTCCTCCCTCCTCCTCCCTCCTCCTCCCCCTCCTCCCCCTCCTCCTCCTCCCCCTCCGCTTTCCCCTGCCACGTACAATCGGACCTTGGCCAGAGGAACCTCTCTCAAGAACGTGGGAGTCTTCGCTGGCCAAACGCACACAGCACACTCACGGGCACCCTCCCCAGGATGCACAAGAGCATCCGACGGGCACGAAGTAAACTGCGATAAGGGAAACCATCAAAAGACCCCCCCCCGCCCCCCCAACCTCAAAGTTGGCACGCGCGGGGGAGACTGTGGTCGAAGTGCAACTCATCAGATCCACCGCGAGCTTTGAACGTCGGGGGCCGGGGGAGGCATCGACCAATGGAAATGGCATGCGCGTTCGCTTTTTCTTTCCGATGCCTGTAGGGCACCCTCCCCGAACCGACCTCGATCCTATACCTCGGTCAGACTGTACGCGCTCGCGCCGGGGCGCGCGAGGAAAGTCTGCGGCCGAGCGACGGACGCGCGCGGTCCTGTCGGGGATCTTCTGACCCGGGTCAATGCAGACCCGGGTCAATCAGGCCTGCAAAATCCTGCAAGATCCTGCACCCAAACCCGGGTCAATGCGAAGGATCCTGCAGGATCCTGCAGGATCCTGCACCCAAACCCGGGTCAACGCGACCCTGGCGCTGCAGGATCCTGCAAGATCTGGCGCTCTGGCTGACCCCCGTCTGCACTGACCCCCGTCTCGAGGCTCCCGATCCTGGCGGGGGGGGGGCTTCCCGGGCGGCGGAGGCCAGCGGCCAGGCGCCGGCCAGGCAGCATACGATGCACACGATCGGGCGGCGGGGGCGCCAGCGGCCAGGCAGCGGCCAGGCGGCCTCAGATGCACACCCCTGACGGGGAAGGCGACGGCCACGTCTGCGGCAACGGGCAACGAGGGCTCAGCCATTCGGAGGCAATCGAGCCCGACAAAGCCGCGCGCCTGGCGGGCGGGGGGGGGAGGCTTCTCGGGCGGCGAGGACTAGTCGGAAGCGACCGCGTCCCAAAAATCGCACTCTGCTGCCTTTAGATCAACGAACGGACGGGTGCCGCCCGCCTCGAACCACATGCCTGCGCCAGGGGCCCGCGGCCAGGCGACGGAGAAAGCCCAGTCCTGGCCCGCGGAGGCCTCCGTGGCAAGGGCAAACCCCCTGAACATGTCCAGAAGAAGAAAAACAACATATACATAACCTTGCGGAGTTCCGCGCGGACTCCTTGGATCGGCGCTGGACCCGCCTCCCTAGCGCGCGGAGCGCGCCGTGGGCGCCGCCGGCGGCGGCGCCGCCGGGGGAGGCCCTGGCGCAGATCCAAGAAACCACCGCAGAACCTCGAACGTGCATGTTCATGCACCTTTTCCTCCTTCGGATGTTCGGGTCCCCCTCGCGGACCATGTTCCGGAAGAAGATCTGGTACATGTCGGCCAGGTCGGCCTGGCGGTCGTCGACGTCCACCGCGAGGCGCTCGAACAGGAACGGCAGGTCCGAGCCGTGCGTCGCGCCGGGGCAGGGCCAGCACCCGCCGACTCCGACTCTGCGCGGCCCGCCGGGCACGGCGGCGGGAGGGTCTGGGTAGCGCCGGGCGGGCTCGTTGGCCCAGACGTACCTAGGGGGAAAACAAACCTACCTCGCTTTTGACCACCCTCGCTTCCAAGAGACACCAAACGATGCCAGATTGCAGCCCGTACTGGCCAGGCCACTTGACGAGGAGGCGCGTGGTATGGCCTGGTTTTGCCTGGAAGCGAAAGCGGGGTAGGTAATCTAGGGCTCCCAACTTCGCGCTTCGCGCTGCGCGAAGCGCGAATAACTTCGCGCTCTCGCGCCGCCCTCCCAAAGGGAGAATAGGAGGACGAGGAGGAGGGGGAGAAGGAACGAGGACCGCGAAGCGCGAATAACTTCGCGCCCTCCTGGGAGCCCTTGGTAATGCACGCTCTGAGGTACCACCAGGCAGGGGCCGCCGCCGCGCCCTGCCACGCCCGCGCCGAGCGGCGGGCCACGCAGAGCATGGTCTTGTCGGCCCCCGCGCGGCGGGCCGCCCAGTAGGCGGGCGACCACCTGCGGAGCCCGTGCTCGGCGGGCGCCCCCGCCGCGTCGACGTAGAGCCTCCTCGCCTCGCCCGCCTGCTCGGCGCTCAGGCCCAGGCCTCCGAGCTCCGGAGGCATGGCAGCGAACTCCTCGAAGTCTGCCACCGTGGCGTTGGCCCCGATGTCCTTCAGGCAGTCCTCGCGTGTCCCTCCGATCACGATCGGCACGCCGGTGTTCACGGCTCCGAGGGACAGCGCCTGGGCTGGATGGAGCTTCAAGTGTGTTCCATCCACTGTGGGTGCCCACATGATGCCGAGGCGGGACTGGGCCTCAAGCAACTGCTCCGAAGAGAGGCGCAGGAGGCACGAACACACTGGGCCGCGTTCCCAACACTTGTCGTGCGCATCGCAGCCGGTCGCTTTCAAGACCGCATCGTAGTCCCTCTCATTGCTCTCGAGGCTGCTGGCCGCCCAATCTGTGAAGCCGCCGCTCATGAGGATTGCGGACGCAAACAAGCCCGCACTGCTCTCCATCACCAAGTGGTTGCTGATCGAAGCTGCGCCTGCTGACCAGCCAAACAAACTCACCTGCGATGGATTGCCTCCGAAGTAAGCAATGTTCTCCTTGACCCACATCAAGGCCATCTGCTGGTCAAGTATACCGAAATTGCCTACGCTTTCGTTACTGCTCATTCGCAGACGCTCACTGCCCAGGAATCCGAAAATGCCAAGGCGGTAATTAATGGTCACCACGATGAGATGCCTCGTAGTAACGAGCTCCTTGACGTCCTCGACATGGGTGTCACTGCCTGCGCCCATCGTGAAACTTCCACCATGAAACCACACGACTACTGGGGTTGTTATCGTTGACCCAACTAATACCCTTGGCGTGTAAATGTTCAAATGGAGGCAATCCTCACTCACGTTCTCGTGCCTCTGGGCGCTGCCTCTCATACACGAGGCGCTGAAAAACCGAGCGTCGATCTCCTCTGGAAACTTGTCCAACGGCCTCGGGTTCTGGAAGCGGCCGGCCTTCGCGTAAGGGATGCCCCTGAAACGGCGTCCCCACGAGCGAGACTCCAGGCCTCGAACGCGGACACATGGTAAAGTGATCACCACCTCCTCCTCGTCGGCGATCTCAAAAGCCTGGAGCTGCTCGGCAGCAAGACGCACCGCTCCAACACGAGGGCTAAACTGCCACCGCAATGTAATTCCGGCAGAGGCCAGGACGGCGGCGGCGATGGCCCTGCCGACCCATCGGGGCACGAGCGCAGACCTCCGTTCATCGTGCAGCAGCGGGGTCGCACGTGCCGCAAGTCCTGATGCCATCATCACGCCAAGGAAGCAGCTGTGAGGGGTATGTGGCGAGGTATCGACGAAACCAGGCAGCTTGAACCAAAATGACTACGGGCTTCGAAGGTAGACGAAGAAAGGGAGGATGATGGAGGAGAGTTCTGCAGCAGCGCATGGGAGCAGTCGCTGGCTCCTGCGAATCGACGCTAACATTGACGCTAATTGACGCTAAACCGGCGCTATCTCAACAATTACCAGAGGCCGTGTCGACGCTGATGCACCCTGAGGACAGGACTGCGAGGGTATACATTTTTTGGAGGTGTTTTTGCCTTGGCCATCAGATTAGATTATCTTGAGGCACCGCTGTAATCGCCCAAGCCTTTAAACCAACTTTTTGTGTGTGTGGGGGGGGGCACTGGCCGTGATCTACCCGACGCAGGGAATCGGAAGAAACAGGCAACTACACCCTAAGCGCCACGTGATAGCGGGCCTCATTGCCTCCGCGCAGGATTGGTAACGGCAGCGGCGCGACAGCGCGTTTTAGTGCGAGCCATCGAAGCCCCTCCCAAAGATGTCGACAGCCTTTAAACCTACTAATATGAAGAACTCTGCTCCAAGCATTCGCGGCAAGATATGAGTTCCTCCGCTTCTTAGAGTTAAGCTAAGAGAGCAGACTTCGCTCCAAGCGTTTTGTTAGACAGTAGTCCAAAGCAATCTCTACGAACGTCCAACGAAAAAACGAAGCTCCAAGAACCCGCCTAGGGTTTAGTCCAGACTCTTGCTGTTCTTAAGCGAGATCTGGCGCTTTTTCTTAAAATCTCCGACGGGTGTATGATGTATCTGGCACGTCTCAAGTCCGCCGGATGTGCGGCGGGATCGTTCCATGTCGCGTGGTGCCGCATGCATCGAAACTTCAGATCACCGGAGCCACGAGTGACATACATGTTTCTTCCTGTCGTCGGCCCAGAGGTCTGGAGACTTTCCCTGGGACCAGCTTTCCGTCCATGGCGCGCCAGCGAGGGCGGCTGTAACTCCGTCGGGGCATCTCTGGCGGGCAAGCCAATAATCATTCATATTAAACGCCTGCAGCAATTTCATAATATTGTGTGTCAGCGCTCGAACGCGCAGAGCGTAGCGTGCGACTTCGGGGTGTCGCGCCTGTACTCCGCCAGCTCGTCGCCCCCCCCCCCCCCTCCTCTGTTCCTGCCAAATTCTTCGGCTTCGCTGGCTCCAAGCCGTCGGGCTTTTGCCCCCCACTTAGCAGTGACGTCCGCAAAGTCGCGGCCCCGCTGCAACAAGAGAACTTGCGAACCTGGTCGGTAGCCTCAGAATTGTGCCGATCTTCCCAGAGAAGACGTGGAATAACCGATTGTTTCCCGCCGTGACTCCCGCTCTGCGGGGTCCCAGCGGACCTGAGATCCACAGAGCCCTGGATCTGCAACGCGCTGCGACCTCCCGGGGGACGGGGTGGCTCTGGCCCGAGCGGCGGTGCAGCAATGCGAAGCCATAAGGAATGCATACTGAGGAACGAAGCTGCTTTTCTGGCCACGGCCAGCCACGGCAACGAGTAGGTCCCCTGACCTTGACCCTTCCTGAAGCCGAAGTGGTCCTTACTTCAGCGTCTCTGCACAGGCATCCGAGGCTCCATCGGAAAACCTTCGGGCAGAGGTTTGCCCCAGGGCGCCCTTCGACAGCACGGTCGACACGAGGAAGCTGCGCGGACGCCGCAAAACGGCACGCTCCGCTGCCGTGGCGATGCGGGAGGGCGCGGGGGGGGGGGGGCAAAGGGAGCACAGGCAGGGGGGGCCCTGCTTGGGATCCTCCTGGGTTCTTCTCTGGGCGTCCTTGGGTTCCTCTGGGGCCTCCTTGGAGGGCCTGCGCGCACGAGCCACCTGTGCAAGGGTGGAGGAGGAGGAGGAGGAGGAGGAGGAGGAGGAGGAGGAGGAGGAGGAGGAGGCCTTTGGTGCGTGGCTGTCGGGGGCCGCGGGGAGGGAGAACCCACGCGCGCAAGCCAACGCTGGGGGGGCCCCTGCGGCCCGCACCGTAATGTCACTCCGGCGAAAGGTCGTCACCTTAGGTCGGGCATATCCTCCTACGGGCGGGTTTTGGAAGAACAGATAGAAAGAGCCGAAACATATCCAACAATAGTCAAACATAGTCAAAAACATCGTCCCCAGAGAATTTTTTTGACTGTTCTTGAACTTTCCTCCTGTAGAGGGACATGCCCGACGTGAGCTTAGGTCGGGCGTGTCCTCCCACAGGGGGATCCTGGGCGCTAAGTCAAACATGCTAAAAAATCGTCCCCCGACGATCAGTGGACTGCTCTTGAACCCTCCTGTAGAGGGACGTGCCCGACGTAAGCGAACAACCGACATGGGGGCGCTCCCGCCTGGACCGCCCACGCTGCCGGGCCTCCTCGCCGCGCGTGCGGGCCCTGGAGCTCTCCTCGATCCCCCGGCCCCCCGGGGCCCTGGCGGCCCCCGGAGGGGGCCGGAGATCGCGCTCCCCTGCCAGGGGAGCGCGATCTCCGCCCTCCTCCGGACGAGCTCGCGGCGTCCAGGGACACCCCTGGACGCCTCGATCGCGAGCAGAAGGAAGCGCCTGCCGTGGCGTCTGCCACGGCGGCGGCGGCGGCGGCGGCGCCCGCCGCGGCGCCTATTGCGTGCACCGCCGCGAGCGCGCTGAGCATCTGCCGGGCCAGCCCGCGCGCCGAGGGCCCGCTCGGGGCGTCCATCGGCAGGAGCGTGCCCGTGGCCTCCACGTAGTCCATGAGGCCGGGCCCCTCGCACCTGCTTGGAGGCCTCCTAGATGGGGTCCGAGTGGATGGAGTCGGAGGATCTCGCCGCATCGCCAATAGATCGGCGGTGCATCGCCGATGCATCGGCCATGCGCTGGCGACGTCGGTGATACATCTGCGAAGTCGGCGTGGAGAAAATTGGGCCCCACATCGAACCGCATCGCCGATGCATCGCCGATGCGGCGCGATCCCCCTATCTACACCGACCCCATCTAGGAGGCCTAGACTGCTCGCCGCTCCCCCCTCTCACTTGATCGCCCGACTACTTGGCGGATGTCGGAAACCCTGGGCCCAAAAGCGCTTTCACCTCTCGGGGGCGCATGTTTCACTTCCGCCACACTCCGCCGCCCTTCCGCTGGCTTCCGCCGGCGGAAGCGGCCTCGTTTTACTTCCGCCGCCCTTCCGCTGCCTTCCGCGGCGGAAGAGATGACAACTCCTTCTATCCTCGAAGGCAAAGCCACTTTTTGGAACGCCTCAAATGAGCTGTCGTACCCGGAGTTCTTTTCACAACCAGCGTTTTCTCCCGGCTCCAGGCCCCAGGACCATCACGTACCGGTCCTGCTCGAAGAATGCCGCAGAAAGATCAGGTCTAGGGTTCTGATCGTGATTCTTCGAACTTCTGCAATTTCTTGCAACGTCGGGCCCCAGGGCACGAGCACAACGGCCCTTGAGGGGGGGGGGATTGGGCTGCCCTCAAGGCTCCCGCAGTTCAAAGCCCATGGGGGGGGGGGGAGCGGGGGTTTTGGGGCCCGCGCAGATCGGCAGAACAATGGAGAAAAAACGATCACAAGCGTGCGGCCTGCTTCCCATGTGGCTCCTGCTGCTTCTGCTCCTCCTCGTCCTCCTCCTCCTCCTCCTCCTCCTCCTCCTCCTCCCCGTGGGTCCTCGTCGCTGGGCCGCGCCCCTCGTGGCCAGGCCAGAGGGGCCCCGAGGCTCTCGGACGCTGTTGGACGAACCATCTGGCCTAGTTTGTATGCTTTTGGCCCCTCGTGCGCCTCCAGATGTCTCCCGAACTTTCCTGTCATCTTCGTTTTTTTTTTTTTTTTTTTTTTTTTTTTTTGTTTTTTGCCATCTTCGGCTGGTGGGGGCCCTTCTCGGCCCCCGAGGCCCGTCAGAACGTCGG